TGTGAGCTGTAATGCCACGGCACTCTACCCAGGGGGATAGCTAGAGGCTCTGTCTCAAAAAAAAAGAGATCCTCTTGCCTCAGCCTCCCCACTAGCTGAGAGAAGAGGTGCCCACATTGTGGTAGTTTTTCTGATTTTAGGTACAGAGCCTCATCATTGCTCAGGCTGGTCTGGAACTCCTGAGTTCAAGGGATCATACTGTCTGGGGCACCCAGAGTACTAGGCTTATAGGTGTGAGGCACTGACTGGCCCAGAATTTCCCTCCTTGAATCTTTTGTCATCTCTGTTCACACCCTACCTTTCTTTTTTTTTATTTGCAGTCTTTGGCCAGGACCAGGCTTCAACCCGCCACCAGCAGTATATGGGGCTGGTGCTTTACTCCTTGAGCCACAGGTGCCGCCAAGACACTCTACCTTTCCCTATTATCTCATCTCATGGTTTAACCTCCTGTGACATGTCTCTGTTTCCCTTGTAGCCCTCTCTCCTAAACTCTGGAATTCAGTGTCTCATTGTGTCCTCACCTCTTTGGCGGGCCAAGTAATAGGCATCTCTACCTTCGTGTGTCTTAAGGGGACTTTCTCAGGTGTGTGATCCTCACAAGTCAGAGCAGAACTTTCCTGTGCTCCCTGGGGCTTATGCAACTTCTTGTCGTATATTTAACATGGTAACCACCATGTGAGTTGTACTTCAATTATACAGGTTTTGAACCTAGGGCCTCACAAAGCATATATCACTCACATATCTCTTGTGGCCCCAAGGAACGTTTTTTTTACACTGTGTTTTAGTATGTTGTTAGAGCATGAGAAGGACCATCCACGCAGATCAAAAGTTTCCGAATGGAGTCTTTTAATATCCAGCCTGTGACTATCTCCATAGTCCCAGAAAGGAGACCATGCGAGAGCAGACCTGACCCATGTCTGTACAGGATAGTTATGTGGTAGGCTTAAACCTACCATACAAGCAAGTGGTAGGTTTAAGCTGGTTTGGTTATAGAAGCTGATAAGGCGGCTGTCAGTAGTTGGCAGGGATCAAGAACTTGAATTTCTGGAAGGTCCCAGACCATTATCTGGGCGGATGGAGGGTAAGGGGTTATCTGGAGCATAACGAGTAAGGGATTATCTCAATGTAAAGACATTATAAATCTTGCTCTGTTGCCTGGGGCAACATCATAGCTTAAAACAAGTTTGAACTCTTTTTTTTTTTTTTTTTTTTTTTGAGACAGAGCCTCAAGCTGTCCCCCTGGGTAGAGTGCCATGGCATTACAGCTCACAGCAACCTCCAACTCCTGGGCTCAAGCGAGTCTCCTGCCTCCGCCTCCCAAGTAGCTGGGACCACAGGCGCCCGCTACAACGCCCAGCTGTTTTTTGGTTGCAGCTGTCATTGTTGTTTTGGCGGGTCCGGGCTGGGGATTCGAACCCACCACCTTAGGTGTACATGGCTGGCGCCTTAGCCGGTTGAGCTATAGGTGCTGAGCCACAAGTTTGAACTCTTAAGATCAAGCCATGCTCTTGTGTCAGCCTCCCTAGTACCTGGGAATACAGGTGCCCACCATGACACCTGGCAATTTTCTACTATTTTTAGTCAACATAGAGTCTCAGTCTTGCTCAGGCTAGTCTCAAACTCCAGAGCTCAAGCAATCCACCTGCCTGGGGCTCCCAGAATACTAGGATTACAGGCATGAGCCACTGCACCAGGCCAAGACATTATATTTTAACACATTGGAAGGGTTTTTGTTTGTTTTTGAGAAGTCTCATGATGTCGCCCCGGGTAGAGTGCCTTGGCATCACAGCTCACAGCAACCTCAGACTCTTGGGCTTAAGTGATTCTCTTGCCTCAGCCTCCTTAGTAGCTGGGACTACAGGCACTCACCAGAATGCCTAGGTATTTTTGGTTGCAGTTGTCATTGTGTAGCAGGCCCAGGCTCAAACCTGCTAGCTTCGGTATATGTGGCCAGCACCCTACTCACTGAGAGCCATGGGCTCTAGGCTCTAAGTCTTAACACATTGTTTTTCTTTCCTTTTGTACTCTGTTGCCCTGGATAGAGTGCTGTGGCATCATAACTCATAGTAACCTTAAACCTTTGGGCTCAAGTCATTGTCTTGCCTTAGCCTCCTAAGTAGCTAGGACTTCAAGCACCAAGGACGAGGCCAGGCTAGTATTTGTGTATTTATAATAGATAGAAGGGATCTTGGTCTTGCTGAGCTCAATGTCTCTTGAGCTTAAGCAGTCCACCTGTTCATACTCTAGAGGGCTAAGATTACTCACATAAGCCACCACACGAGGCCAAAATATTATTGATAAGTAATTTTACCCAGAAGCAATCTCAAGAAAGCTTTTATAACATGTTACATTATTCTGTGTTTTAAAACTTGCAATACCTAGTGCAAGTGCAGATATGCAATACCTTGTGATTGGTCAACAACATTTGGGAATGAAAACCCAAGTTAAGTCATGACAGTCAATAGTGCGTTCCGTGCGTTCTTGCATGAAGCAAAGAAAAACAGCACATGTTAACTTAATAAGAGGTCGGGAAATACATCCTTTAAAACTTCTCTTGAGAGACAGGAGATTTAAGTATGCAGGGCTGGGCTCTCACACCTCTGCTCGCCAAGGACCTCTCTGGCCTCATCTGCTTGTGTCCTGCTCGCTGGCTCTGCGCCAGCCACATGGGCCTCTTTCTGTTCCCCACATTGCTCCCCCTCAGGGCCATAATGGTGGATGTCTGTCTTTCTAGAATTCTCCTGCCCGTTGGCTCCAGGTAACAAGCCCCCTTCTTTCCTTACATGTTTGTTCTGATGTCACCTTCTCAGTGAGGACTTCTGCCCATTACTTAATATTTCAGCCACCTCTTCACCCCCACCATACGCCTGATAGTCCATGTTGGTTGAGCTGTATATTTCTTTTGGATCCCTCACCATTCACTGTCAGGACACTGGTGACAGGTCTCCAAGGGAAAAGCAAAGAAAGAAGGTGGGAGGTGTCCTGCCCTTGCCGGCTCTGAGTGGAGCTCAGGCCTAGTATCACATTACAGTGTGGAGGCTTTCTGAAAATACATATCACCTGGCTTGGCACCTGTGCACAGTGGTTACAGTGTCAGCCGCATACACCGAGACTGGCAGGTTTGAACCCCGCCCAGGTCAGCTAAGCAACAATGACAACTACAACAGAAAAATGGCCAAGTGTTGTGGCGGGCGCTTATAGTCCCAGCTACTTGGGAGTCTGAGGCAAGAGAATCACTTAAGCTGAGGAGTGGGAGGATGCTGTGAGTTGTGATGCTACAGCACTCTTCTGAGGGCAACGTACTGAGACTCTGTCTCAAAAAAAAAAAACGAAAACAAAAAAGAAAATACATCTCTTCTTCCTCTTCACACAGTCAGGTTTGGACCTACCTTGTAATGGTTCTAGTGACCAGGTGTATCCAGTCTGTGTTCAGCACTGAGCACAAATGCTCTATGTCCTCCATTGCTGAAGGCTAAGGTCACTCTGTGATCACAGACTGGTGAGGGGCTGTGCCCTGGAGGGGAGCTCAGTGCAGCCCAGCTCTCTGCTGCCCTGTGTGTGGAATGTCATGAGGAGGGAGGCAGTCTCTGGTGAGGGGGTCTGAGAATCACCAGTTTGTCTCTGTGCGAGCTTATTATCTCTGCATCCCTCTCAGTGCCGTGGGCAGCCGAGGACCTGCCTTTCCACAGGGCGAGGTCTTCCCTAGGTGAGTAGTTGTGTCACAGAGAGGGAGTGTACTGATTCTAAACAGTAAGCAGAGCATTTTTCTTATTCAGGACTCACTACTAAAGAATCCAGTTACACGAAGAAGAAGCCCAGAAGAGGAAAAAAAGGATTCAGAAATGGCTGTGCCTCAGGTACAGTGATGTTCTCGGTGGTTGTTGGGAGTCTCCCTCCTTTCTGAAATGCTAGGCACTGGACTTGCTGCAACTCAACCCTGCCTTCCCTCAGTCCCTCTCCGCATGACCCAGTGACTTGAGCTTATGCAGAGCTTCCACAGGGCAAGGCCCTGGGAAGGACATCAGTTAGAGAGGGGATCTGGGCCCTGTGGTGTCAGTGCTTTGGGGCAGCAGGGACTGTTTAGGATTCACATCTGGGTGCACTGTCACTCTCTATAGACCAGGATTCGAGAAATTGCATCTTAGAGAATCTACCCAGAGCAGGTGAAATTTTTCCCTCATTAAACAAAACTTGCTACTGTGTTCTTTTTGTACTTTGAAATTTTGAAAACTAGAGGAAAATGACAAACCTTTGTGTTAATATTTTTCAATTTATTGTAAGCGTTCATAATTTTTTTTATTTTGTGGAAATGTATATTTAAAATAGATGTTCATACTTTGCTCCATTTTTTTTCACGTATTTTAGGCTCTATTTTATATCCTTTGGTTTATATTCTTTATACATATCTTGGTGTCTTTTTATAAATTATCCATTTTATTTTATTTTATTTTTTTGCAGTTTTTCTTTTGGCTGGGTTTGAACCCACCACCTGCCATATATGGGGCCAATGCCCTACTCCTTTGAGCCACAGGTGCCCTCCCTAAATTATGCATTTTAAAAATGTGAAACAGAAATCTGTTTATTCTAATGCTACCTGGTTTTTCTTGTGCCTTCGTTTGTTTTATCTTTCTTTGCAAGTCCTTGCACGATTACAAAATACTGTTTCATTTAGTCTAAAATTTTTTTTTCTTATTTTTTTAATTGACACAGAGTCTCACTGTGTTGCCCTCAGTAGAGTATCCTGGTGTCACAGCTCACAGTAACCTAAACTCTTGGGCATAAGCGATTCTCTTGCCTCAGCCTCCCAAGTAGCTGGGACTATAGGTGCCAGTCACAATGTCCGGCTATTTTTTTTTTGTTCTGTTTTTGTTGTCATTGTTCTTTTCTCAGGCCCAGGCCCGATTTAAACCCACCTCTCCAGTGTATGTGGCCAGAGCCCTAACCACTGAGTTACAGGTGCTCAGCCAAGTTTAAAGTAACATTTTGGTTATGTTTCTGTTTAATTTGAATTATTTTGTAGATCTTATTTTAGGTATTTAATGTCCTAAGGGGTTCATGTTTAGTTTGGTAAATCCCTCCATTTTCTTCTTTTCACAATTACATTTGTTCTCCTTTACTGTGACAGAGATTCATTGACACTCAAATATTTTCCTTGTCTTTGAATGGCTCTGGACTTCTCATCACAAGTCTTTACATGTCCACATGTTCTGGTGAGCACTGGGTTTCGGGGTCCTTGATCATGTCTTTGATATGTCCTTCAGTCAAGTTTGTTTCTTTGCATCTTTACAGTTTAACAGTGTTAGGTATATTGACTTTATTCCACTCCATGTTCCTTGAACTTTTTCATACCAGGAAACTATATGCCCAGCATCACCAGTTCCCCCTCTGACGATTCATTTCTCTGCCATCTTTCCTGGTGTCTTTGTGAGAATTTAACAATGTTAAGTATTCCATAGGAATAGAATCTCACATTATTTGTCTTTTTGTGACTGGCATATTTTTCTTAGCAGAAAGTCCTCGAGGTTCATGCATTTGGTAGCATGTGACAGGATTTCCTTTTTTTTTTTTTAAGGCTCAGTAATGTGGTATTACATGCATATACTATATTCTTGTTACTCATTCATCTGTAGATCGCGTGTTTATTCCTTCCTCTTCTTAGCTATTATGTATGATGCTGTGATGAGCTTGGGTTTGCAGATATCCATCAAGAGAAACCTTTCTTTTTGAGGGGGTTTTGGGGTTTTTTGCAGTTTTTAGCGAGGGATGGGTTTGAACCCCCCACCTCCATCATATGGGACTGGCTCCGTATTCCTTTGAGCCACAGGCGCTGGCCACAAGAGAAACTTTTCGAACTTTCACATATACACAGCTAAAAGTGGGGTTGTTTGATCATGTGGGAATTGTATTTTGAATTATTTGAGGCACCCCCTTGCTGACTTCCACGATGGATGCACCGTTTTACATATGCAGCAATAGTGCATGAGAGTTCCCACTTCTCCACATAGACTTAGCATTTTCTTGTTTATTTTTATTTTATTTTATTTTTTAAG